TTTTTTTTTTTTTTTTTTTTTTTTTTGCATTGCTTTCCAATGGTTCAATTGTTCATCTTGGTCATTTATTATTTTTTAACTAGGCTGAGAAGCCCACGCTATCAAACATCAATTTGGACATACCAGTTGGTAGCTTGGTCGCAATTGTTGGAAGTACAGGGGAGGGAAAGACATCACTAATATCAGCCATGCTTGGAGAACTTCCTCCAGTTGCAGATTCTAGTGTTATTATTCGGGGAAGTGTTGCTTATGTTCCACAAATTGCATGGATTTATAATGCTACAGTAAGTTGGCATAACATAGATGTTTCATTCGTATACGTGCGGTTTAACTTTTCATCTGTGTGTGAGGCTCACATGTCGCCACTATCTTTTGTCACCATCTTCATCGAATCCCCTGTCTTATATTGTGGATGTGTTCGTTGACTGTCCTCTTTTGTATAGGTGTATGTGTTTTGGTCCTACCTTTTTTGGGTGCAGTCAAAGGCAAATCTCTTTGGAAATATTAGGATTTTTTGGTACATATTACTATTTGGGTTTAGATCTAAATTATATATTTGTTTTTTAGGTTATGACTAAGAAGAAAGAGTGGGTGGTGTTTGAGATGTTTATAATGATGTAGAAAGTTATGAAACATTAGTTGAATTGTTGAAACTATTATGCATAGTGAACAGACGTTCGTCATTATATACGGAGCATTGATATAGATGATCACATGATTGGAGAACCATTGACATACGCCACTAAAAAACTTGGTTGCAGGATGCTACACATAGGTATTCTTTTGAAAGTGACATTGTTGGTGATGAGAGTGAACCTTAGTGAATTATATGGATCCCTAACACACCAACACTAAAACCCAAAACAACCTTCGTTTTCTCTTAAATTCTTTGTTTCCTACTTATTTTGTCCTTGTACTGATTGTTGATTGTTTCCTATTTGAGACCATTCCCTCCAATTGGGATCTTTTGCTGAAATCCCAATGAAATCATTCTTTGTAGCTTTGTCCAGCACCAAATCTGAAAAAGTTACATTTAAAATGGAGAAATGATTGAATAATGCATAAAGGAATCACCATTGCAAAGCTTTGGAGATGCCTAAGTCGAAACCCTCCACCCAAATTTCTAAAGATTATTGATTTTGAAGCATTGTTGTATTTATGGATGTCAAATTTGATTTGATTTGCAGGCACGTGATAATATAATATTTGGTGGTGTCTTTGATTCTGCCAGATACGAGAAGACAATAGACGTAACTGCGTTACAGCATGACTTTGATTTACTTCCCGTAAGTATTTTTATTGCACGAGTCCTTGATGATAATTATGTTTAAAACTCTGCAGTGAGCTTTTTTCTTTTGGTTCACTGCTAGGGTGGTGATCTGACTGAAATTGGGGAAAGAGGAGTGAATATTAGTGGTGGTCAGAAGCAAAGAGTTTCCTTGGCTAGGGCCGTGTACTCCAATGCTGATGTGTACATTTTTGATGATCCCTTGAGTGCTCTTGATGCTCATGTGGCTAGAGAGGTAGATATCCCGCCATGAGATTATTTTTCCTTGATTTTAATTTTTGAAGTACATGGTTAGGTGAAAAATGGGATTATTTTGACAACCTATATGTCTCGATTGTTGGGAAGGAGTCCCACGTTGGCTAATTTAGGGAATGATCATGGGTTTATAAGTAAGAAATACATCTTCATTGGTATGGGGTCCTTTGGGGAAGCCCAAAAACAAAGCCATGAGAGCGTATGCTCAAAGTGGACAATATCATACCATTGTGGAGAGTCGTTATTCCTAACATGGTATCAGAGCCATGCCTTTAACTTAGCCATGTCAATAGAATTCTCAAATGTCGAATAACTTATTTCCTTATTGCTCATTTTTGTGACCATGGTAATCTGTGTTAAGGGCAGCAATCTTAATATTCTTCTGTTTCATGTTTTCCTTGTTTGAGTTTTTTGGTACTTTTCTCATGTAGTCATCCAACGATCAACAGGTTTTTGAAAAATGCATTAGGAAAGAACTAAGAGGGAAAACGAGAGTTCTTGTGACCAACCAACTGCATTTTCTCTCACAAGTTGACAGAATTATCCTTGTTCATGAAGGTGTGGTGAAGGAGGAAGGGACATATGAGGAACTTTATGAAAATGGCGAGTTGTTCACAAGGTTAATGGAAAGTGCAGGTAAATTGGAAGAGGAAAAGGAAGAAGGTGAAATCAGTGATACTAAAAAATCATCTGAATTTCCTGCTGATGTGATGGTAAATGATTTTAAAAAGGATGCTAATCCTTCAAAAAATCGTAAAGCACAAAAATCTGTTCTTATTAAACAGGAAGAAAGAGAAACAGGTGTCGTCAATTGGAACGTTTTAGTGCGGTAAGAACTTTTTACCACGAATCTCACTATCCAGTTTTGTGTTTGTTTCTAAAATATGTGTGTGTATATATATATAATATATATATATATATATGTTCTAGTTTTACAAAGATATTCTTCTTTCTTACTACGCGGTCTTTTGTTGGTAGTGATAATAGGATTTTGTATAGAAGGGTCAAGTGGAGTACACTCTTCGTAAGGATTGAGTTATAATTTTCTTTATTTCAACTAAGGAAGCGGTGCGTAGGGCTTTCGTTCTCGTCGGTCTGGGTTCCAATCTATACGACCTCAAGGTCATGAAGTTTAAGCTTCACAAGGTCAATGGTTATTCGTAAAATTTCTTAAGGAGGAGGGTGACATCCCTTTTGGTTTAAAGCATGGCCAAGAAAGATAATGTTTTAGAATCTAGTTTACTCCTATTGGGTTGATGATCCTGAACAAGTTGTTTTGGTTCTTTTAAGATACAAGAATGCATTAGGAGGCCTATGGGTGGTTATTGTACTCCTCTTATGCTATGTTCTATCAGAAACTCTTCGAATATTTAGAAGCCTATGGTTAAGCAAATGGTCGGACGAAGGCAATATCGATCCTAGTGAAACATTGTACTACAACACGATATACGCGGGCCTGTCATTTGGTCAGGTATGAGTACAATCAACTAATAATTTATGCATACTACATTATTAACTTTTGATGTAGCTCAAGCAAAAAATAACTTTTGATGTCAGGTAGTGGTGACACTGTTGAATTCTTATTGGCTGATCATATCAAGCCTGTATGCAGCCAAAAGGTTGCATGATCTAATGCTTACTTCTATTTTAAAAGCTCCAATGGTATTCTTCAACACCAATCCACTTGGGAGGATAATAAATCGATTTTCAAAGGATCTTAGTGACATTGACAGGAGTGTTGCCTCGTTTTTCAACATGTTCTTGGGGCAAATTTCACAACTCCTTTCTACATTCATCTTGATAGGGTTCATGAGCACTTTATCATTGTGGGCAATCCTTCCTCTTCTGTTATTGTTTTATGCGGCCTATTTATACTACCAGGTAACTAAAAATCCTTGTTCTTTTCTTACTTTTGCAAAAAAGCAGTAGTTTAGATTAAATGTTAACAAGATACTTCAAATTGAAATTGTTTCAAAACAAACCTATGCCAGTCTATTGTAGTAATAAGGCTATCTCGCTATAGTGAACGAGAATATTAAGTGTATTACGCGTAACTTATCTTTGACAATACAAAAAAACGGCTATATGTTTAAGTAAGGACTTTCAAAAAAGACAATTTGATAAACTTATTGTTGAAGGAATGGTCGTGATTTAGGTAATATTTGTGTAATCTTAGCTCCCTAATTTAGATTTATTGTTATCTAGTATCTAAGGATTTAGTTAGTCTTTCTCTATTATAAAACATGCATGCATGTACCTCTTGGAAATTTAATAATTTACCATGGTATGTATCAAGAGTCGTTCTATTCTGGGGGGTCTTATTAATTAGCGTAACCTTCATAGTTAACGAACTTCCACCTTGACCAAACTTATTCAGAGCCTTCATAGCTACCGATCTTCCACCGTGACCAAGTTTCATTCAAAGCCGTCGTAGTTACCAACCAGTAATGCATTAGCATTGTACAACAATCAATGATCACGTTAAAGAGTATTCATAGTAGGAAGGCCGCAACATTAGCATTAGCATTTGTATCGAACTTCCACTTTTTGTATTAACCCTTTTGAGATATGTCAAGTTGGCTCTTGGATTATAAACTCTGGTTTTGAAACCCTTTCATTGAAAGCGTCTTACACGTTCCAAAATTACCTAATAGTCTCCTTTCTATACAAAAGTCTACCCATGAGAACTAATATAATGTTATTTTCTCCTTGTCATGTTGTGTTTTTCAAGACCAAAGCTCGAAATGTACGATTGGAATTGCTAAGGAATTGAATGACATAGTAACCTAAGGGAACAATCATCCTTGCACCTGTGTCATTTCTTAGTTCCTCAAATAAAGATGTGTTTTTGGTTATATCATTTTCACATGCAACATCCTCATTTGAGATTTGAGAATTATGTTTCCAAATTTGTTTCACAGACTCCAAGCCTTTGATTTTCAGTGTGATACTTATGAATTTGCCTGATATACTCGTATATCTTTTCTCATTCTACTCCTTTACCTTTGGTTCATAGTGGTATATGGAGACCCTCAACTGTTTCATGTATTTGTGATGCTCTTTCATTTTTTACATTATTGTACTCGAGTCACACGGTTATTCCTTTCCAAACAAAAATTAGATGTTAGTAATATTATTCCTACCTTCCGCTCGATCATTCCGACCCAATTTGGAATCAAAATCAAAACATTTTGAATTGACAATGCTAGAGATTATTTCAATCAAACCTTATCCTCATATTTTTTATCTCAAGGCATTATCCATGATTCTTCGTGCATGCGTTATTACACCTCAGCAAAATTGAGAGGCCGAAAGGAAAAATGAACACCTTTTAAACACTACTCGAGCATTGCTTTTTCATGGAAACATGCCAAAAACTTTCTAGGGAGAGGCAGTTCTTATTGCAACTTACGTGATTAATTGTTTCCCATCCCGTGTCCCGAATAATTTAAGCCCAATAGAATTCCTCAACTAATTTCGTTCTTACTTTCGAACATCAATCGTCTCATACCCCACATATTTGAGTGCACTGCCTTTGTTCATGTTCACAACAGTCAATGAGGTAAACTTGAACCAAAAGCAGTGAGATGGGTCTTTCTATGATATTCTTCTACCACAAAGTGGTACAAATATTACACGCCTACATCAAAAAAGTCTAACACTTTAATTAATGTGATTTTCACAGAGCATAAACCGTTCTTCTCTAAGACCTCTCTTCAGTAGGAGAACATAGAGATTGGGGAAGGTCCTTGGGAAACTATTAAACCCCTAGACACTAAATAACCGACCCACAGAACCAGTTATTGTGTTCACGCTTAGTATCAATTCTAATTATGAGTCCACCCCTACTACCGCGAAGTTATTAACGGAACCATGAACTCCAACTCCAATGCCAGATCCATTGTTCTCTCAGGTATATGCTAGAAGGCAAGTCATAACTGAATCCTTAGATATTAAGGTAACAATACATATATAATTAAGGATGAGGTTTACACAGATATAACTAAGGTCATTCCTTCAACATTGTCAAGTTGCGGAATGTCATCCATTCCCTGCTTGGATACTAACTCATAAAAGGTTCTAGCTTTTAGCTCTATTGGTTCTCGTCTCTCTTTTCCCTCTCCATTCACTTTTTTGCCCCATTTTATGTATGAATTGAAAATTTTGTTTCTTGTTATAAATATATATATATATATATATATATTTTAGGTATAACAATATAGCATATTTTAAGCTTTCAATTATGGATATATAATGAAGGATTAACTTCTTGCTTTCTTTCTTTTTCCGTACAGAGCACAGCTCGAGAAGTAAAGCGTCTAGACTCCATAAGTAGATCTCCTGTTTATGCACAATTTACTGAAGCTTTAAATGGCATTTCAACTATTCGTGCATATAAAGCTTATGATAGAATGGCTGAGATTAATGGGAAATCCATGGACAATAATATTAGATTTACGCTCGTAAACATGAGTGGAAATCGATGGCTTGGAATCCGTTTAGAAACCATGGGTAGTCTTATGATATGGCTTACAATAACCTTTGCTGTGATGCAGAATGGCAGGGCAGAAAAGCAGCAGGCATTTGCATCCACCATGGGTATTTTACTTAGCTATGCTTTAAATATTACCTCTTTGCTTAGAGGTGTACTAAGGCTCGGAAGTGCGGCTGAGAACAGTTTGAACTCCGTCGAGCGTGTTGGGACGTACATAGATTTACCTTTAGAAGCTCCATCAATTATTGACACCAATCGCCCCCCTCCTTGGTGGCCTAATTTGGGAGTTATCAAATTTGAGGATATTGTCTTAAGATACAGGCCTGAGCTCCCAACAGTGTTGCATGGTCTATCTTTCACAATTTTTTCGTTTGAAAAGGTCGGAATAGTGGGACGAACTGGTGCAGGAAAATCAAGCATGTTAAACGCCTTATTTCGTATCGTTGAACTGGAAAGGGGGAAAATATTGATAGATGGTTTCGATGTTGCAATGTTCGGGCTATTAGATTTAAGAAAAGTCCTTGGGATTATACCACAGTCACCTGTTCTTTTTTCGGGTAAACGATCTATAATTGTCAAAAATATTACAGTGCCACTTTCTACTTTGTTAATCCTTTTTCTTACTTTGTGTAGGAACTGTTAGGTTTAATCTAGATCCATTCAACAATCATAGTGATGCTGATCTTTGGGAAGTTTTGGAGAGGGTACATTTAAAGGATTTCATAAGGAGGAGTACGTTTGGCCTGGACACCGAGGTACGTTGCTTGAACGGTGTGAAATATATATGTGTTTGGTTATAGGAAAAACAACAGATTTATTGTTTATAGGTTTTGGAGTCTGGGGAGAACTTTAGCATTGGACAAAGGCAACTGCTAAGCCTTGCCCGAGCGCTTCTTCGTAGGACGAAAATTATGGTTCTTGATGAAGCAACTGCGGCTGTTGATGTTCGAACTGATGCTTTAATTCAGAAAACTATAAGGGAAGAGTTCAAATCTTGTTCAATGCTTATTATTGCACACAGATTGAATACCATCATAGATTGTGATCGGATCCTTGTACTTGAAGCTGGTCGGGTAATGTTGGCGTGCTAATACATTTTAAATTATGAAAAGCTGCTTTGATTTTGCATTCTGATTCAAGCCTGTGATATTACCTCATTCTCTTCAGGTTTTGGAGTATAACACTCCCAAACAACTGTTATCAAATGAACACAGCGCTTTCTCCAAGATGGTTCAGAGTACAGGAGCTGCCAATGCCCAATACTTACGTACCTTAGTTCTTGAACCAGCCGGATAGACAACATTGTTACTTGATGCTGCTATTAAATTGTTGTGAAATCATCGCATTCTTGCACTAATACATCATTTTTATAGAGATTTGTGACATTGATGTACAAGTTGAGCGACGGATTTGAGTTGAATTGAGTTAGAAATCGCACGATCATAGGTTTTTGAAAAGTTCGAATGCCATGAAGAAGGGTGATTGTAGTATGTTTTGTATTTGTTTTAATCCGTTTTCCAGTTTTGATTCAATTTAAGGCCTAATTATCAAGTTTGAGAGAATTTTAGCTAGAAGCGGAAGGAAAACTAAGGCTTTGAACATCACAACACATTAAGTAGTTATTCTAAGTTGTTCCACAATTAAAAAAAAAAATGCAGTAAAATTAAAATTAAATTAAGTTAAAATAAAATTACAAGATAAGGGAAAATGGATTTGGATACAACTAAAAAATGAAATAGACAGGACTAAACAATGGAGAGAAAGACTGAAGTTTCACAATGGCTCACTCTTTGACTGCATAGCTCTCGAACGCTCCTTCACCTTGCTCTGCAACTTGCGAATACTTGAAAAAGAAAACAAAACGGGGTGAATTTATAAATATACCTAGTAAGTATCCTGCTTGTAGGAACAACTTACGTCACTACCAATTGATTAGCCTGAGACTTGCCCAATTGTTTTGCAACAGACATGTTTGTGTGCTATGATTCAAGGAGCCAATTTGGCTCTAATACCACTTATCACAATCACATTCTTGTGGAGTGGGATAGCGATTTTGCGACACTTATTCTAACTCGATGAACAAGTCAGCAGTATGAAAATTGTAAGTCGTAGACAATTCGGGCGTTTGATTGAGCCTTGGTCATGTTTGAAAGAAAGTGTCTTAGAAAATGTAAGCGAGGATATGTATAGAATCTTTTTTTTTTTTTTTTTTTTTGAAGAAAGCAATGTAATAAACCGACTAGTTTCATCACTCTATAATACATTTTGGAGCATTATAACCCTGGAGGGTGTAGACATGATTTTGTTGACAGGTCATGCCCCTGCCCCCGTACTAACACAACAAGAATAGTAAATGTCCATCTAACATAAAAGCAAGTAAAGGAGCTTGGAACGGGCATGCGGTCGTGGACAATACGTTTTGGACAAGCATCATTGAAACATCTGACACGCGACCGTAAGCAACACGCCTTGGACAAACATGATCGTCACACCTTGCTACTTGACTTAAGCTCACATCCCATTGACATTTAAAGGGAAGAACATAACCCCAACTCGTCGAATAAGAGAAAGATCTAAACACCAATGCCACTTTTTTATGCAGGTGAAAATGAGACAAAGCGGCCACTATCCAATGCGAGTCTTGTGAAGGAGAAAATGTTGACAAGTGGCCAACTATAACAGCTTCCAATGAAGCCAAATAACTTGAGTACATGTTCTCATGTGCACCGACCTTGATGGTTCAATTACAAAACACCCCCCGAGTCCAAAAGTGTGATTTTGGGACAAAAAGATATCACAAAGACTTTATGGAAGCTACCCTGCTGTTTTTAGAATACCATCACCGTTGGCACCCAGCATTCACTTGATCCACTGACCACGGGGAAGGCTCGAATGAACAACTTTGGCAAGGCCAGTGCTCTTATCCAGCACGAGTGGCGTCCAAAGTCGTTCTTCACCGTATCTGCAGATGTAGACATCCAAGCGGTTGATAAGAGTGCTAAAGTTGGACTAGCTTTCGCCCTCGAGCCATGATAGAACAATTTTACTCACTATGGCTGGAAGAATTAAGGTAGAGTTTTTTGGTACATAGCCCCAAGTTGTTTGTTGAGACCTTGTTTATATGTGTTGATCTAGTCTTACCGGTTGTTTTGGAGTGTAGAAATAAATGTTAAGACATGAATTGAGCAGCTCGGTTCAATAAAGACATGAATAATAGTTGGTTTGTCCTATCACGCTAATTCGACCAAAGGAGGATCCTAAATTGTGATTCAACTTCCTAGACATGTATATTTCTATCCTAACAATCTGATCACCAAATATCAAACATGCCCAAGTCAATTCCTACCAGTAATGTTCAAAAAAAAAATCGAATTGACTATTTACATGCTCGGTTTTACCCATTCCTCAAACTTAAAACTCTCCAAATATCATAATTAGGTCCTAATTCATGTAAAACAGAAAAGAGAGAGAGAGAAATCAGTAAAAAGGATTAAAAACAACATACATATATACAATCCTGATAGGAATTTACTTGGACATGTTTAATATTTTGTGATCAGGTTGTTAGGATAGGAATATACATGTCTAGGACGTTGAACCCACAATTTACAATCCTCCTTTGGTTAAAATTGAACAAAAACATTAAAGAGTTTAAAGGATGGGGTTTAGATCAACCATTAATTGTTAGTTCAACTGAACTAACCGCACGATCATCTTCTACCTTGTGACCATTCGGACATGCGTGTGGGAAAGGCTTAGATAGTCTAATATCACCCTCGTTCAGCACATTCTAGGACTCGATCGAAATTGGTTCCTTCACCAAACTTCGCGATATCTCGAGCTTGAACACGTCGGTACCAATTTCACCAATTAACATATTACTAAGAAAAGAGAAATTGAGGCTCAAAATCATGGGGTTAACCAAACTTACCCCGAACTTCGGTGAGTGATACTTTTTTCCATTTGAACGTTCTAGCCCTCAGTTCACTATGATTTCACCCTCTTTGCTATGAACACTAAGAGCCTAGAATTATACCTAATTATCAAAAAATGAGAGGAAATTTTTCCGATAAACTCTCTTTTTTTTTTTTTTGGGTTCCGAAAACCGACATTTGAAATTCAAATTTGATCAATCAATCCACTGTGTTTCAATTCCAAGTCCTTTATGAAAATGTTGCAATCACCGTAAAGCTTAAGATCAAGAGTTGTCAATTTCAATAAAGATAGTATTTCATGAAGGAAAGGTTCACTGTCTTCTTAATAGTTCATTTCTTTGTTCCTAAGATTGAGCCCATAAATCCCAAATTCAACTCTAAGAGAAGTCTTGTCCAATGCGCGATGATTAAGAAAATCCCTAAAACTAACTAGAAAAATATCGGTAGATGGCCACAAGTCTCAAAGGGAAGTTATTGCCAACAAAGTGGGTCTTAAGTTCGAGTTCACTAGCAAATAAATAAGTCTACCCTAGTTTTCATAAGTACGAACTATTTTCAAAACAGCGAGAAGGAAGCATGACAATATATCATACGGTCTCGATCATTGGTTCGTAATGTGAGATTCATATATTGGCTCGCGGCGGCTTTTGGACTGTCCTCGTATGGAATTTATTTGCATGGTTCAATATTAAGCTGAACTGTTAAAAGGATAAACTGCTGTGTCTAAAATAATGGACAGATTTATTAAGATTGTTAATGATGTGGTTGAGTAAACTAATAGTTACTGAAAAAACTATAGGAATAAGAGTTATTCTAGTATAATATTTAACAGCTATAGGAATAAGAGTTATTCTAGTATAATATTTAACAGCTATAGGAATAAGAGTTATTCTAGTATAATAATTCATTGAGATTTTCTCGTTTAGTGGGAACACTTGGACCTACTCCACGACTGCAATTGTTTTAAATCACTAGNAGTATAATAATTCATTGAGATTTTCTCGTTTAGTGGGAACACTTGGACCTACTCCACGACTGCAATTATTTTAAATCACTAGATACCATACCATAAGAAAAAGTTTATTGAGTTTAAAATTTTGTCAGTGTTGTTTGATTTTTATGGTAGAATTGGTAAATAATTTATAAGCCCTCTCGAGCATTTTTACTATCCTTTAATTTTAGTACCAACACGTTAAGCGGAAAATTAGATTCGTCTGCTAAGCAAGCAGAAGGTTCAACCACACCAGAGGTAGTTCCTTCGGCATTTTTACATGAAGCTTTAGCGATGTGATTCTCGTAAGTTAGGTTTATGTCTTTCAAGCTTAATCCAGTGCAATGATTTATTGGGCTACAATCAAAATTGATTGCTATTTCAGTGGCGGAAGTTCCCTTGATGTCTTCGTATGTTACTTCGCTAACTTTAACTCCAGAAGCCTAATCAGAACAAAGAAGAACGGTCAAAATATGCTAAGAAAACGGATAAACAAGGACATCTATAAACTTTTTTACCACCTAAAAACTTCGTACCATATTAAGATATGTGAGGGTAACCGAGTCCGCAATTTATTACCCATAAGTGTAATTTAATGTAACAAAAAATAATACTAATAATTTAGCACCCATTTTAAACCAAACAAATTTCAAGCAATTAAAGATAAAATGAATCCATTATTTATAAAATTAAAAATTTGAGTTCTATTCAAATGTAAGGTTAAATATAATTAGAAAAAAAAAATTAACTTGTGTGAGATGAACGAGAAAATATACCTGACCAGGACAGTCCTCCTCATGTGGACAGTCATTTTGATCAATTATGATTGGATTTTTCACATTATCCATAATGATGTGTTGAAAATAAACTTTTGTAGCAAATCCACGGCTTGGTCTTCCCCAAGACTTAATCCTTACTCCATTCTTAGTCCCGGTGAAAGTAGATAATGTCACTGTAACGTTATGCACTCCATCCTCCTCGGCCTTTATCCCCAAGCTCCCAATGCTACAAATACATTCAATAAAATACCACATTTTTCATGAGGTTCAATCTTCTCGCTTCAACCTAATATATTAAATAACAACTTTGATCCAAAATAATTTTAAAATAATTTAAATCTTTTTTCTCACATTCAAAATAACTTTAGGATATATTTTTAATGATTCAAATTTAATTCAACGTTTAGGTTTATCTTTTAAAATTTAGTGCGACAAATTTATTTAACCCTTTGAAAAAAAAAATTATAAACAGGTTCGTCATAATCTAGCTACCTGATTCCATGTCCAGGTCCACATGTAATACTTTCCACCCACAAGTTGGAGGTCCCTGGACTGATTGAGATGCAGTCGTCGCCGTTGCTAATGCTCGAGTTGAGGATGGTCACATCTGATGATTGTTCCACATGGATGCCATCAGTGTTTGGACTGTCGTCTGCAGCCGAGACATTCACTCTTGTCATATGCACGTTTTGACACCCACTCACCACAATGTTGAACTTTTGGCTGTTAATTGAGGATAATCCATTGATGTTCACGTTTTGTGCATCATTTATTCGAAGACTCTGTCCATTCAAAAGAATCCAAAGCAAGAATTAGTACAAAT